CTGCTTCATCCCGCCCGGGACACAAATCATCCCTTTGTCTAGCAGATCAACCCTATACACACTACCCACCCGTCAGTCACTTAGTAGGCCTCTCAGTCATCAGACTGACCGTCATGGTATCGCAGTGCTTGTGTTCAAGTAACCCTTATTTTACTTAATAATGGCCTGAAGGCACAAGAGTATTGATGCTGGCAATTCGAACATGCCAAAGAGAAGCCATACCGTGCTTGCTTTAAGTGAAAAGGTGGTAGTTCTTGATTTAATGAGGAAAGAAAAACAATCGTATGCTGAGGTTGCTAAGATCTACGGTAAATGTTATTACAGTATATTGTTATAATTGTTCTTTTTATTATTAGTTACTGTTGTTAATCTCTTACTGTGCCTAATTTATAAATTAACTTGATCATAGGTATGTATGTATAGGAAAATACATAGTTTATATAGGGTTTGATACTATCCTCAGTTTCAGGCACCCACTGGGAGTCATGGAACATATCCCCCCTGGATAAGAGGGGACAGCTGTATACACAGTAGTTTAACATAGATCATTTCTATTCTACACATACATTCATTTGAAACAATCTGTGTTTTATTTCTCCAAAGTATTTTTCTACTTAAATATAATATTCTTTATATTACATTAGTCAGTAAATGGAAATTTAGAATGAAGGAGAAATGCCAGGGAAAAAATAATTCAGAAATCCTTTGAAACAAGACAGTTTAAACCTAGAATCAGGGAATCACATTGCATTGCCTCCCAGTGTGATACGAACGTGCTTTGGAGCATGCGCTGAAGAATGTTAATTAGTAGGAAAAAGTGAGGTCTAACTTCACAACCCTCATTTAAGTCAGGCCACTCACAATCCAACCAATTATACAGCTGTAACATCCAAAGGACTAATATGTTTCCCACAAGAAGCCGTGCAAAATACCCTGTTGCACAAGGTGCTCAAAATGCAGACACTGCTGCAAAAGACATAACTGTGCATTAGTCTTTTTTTTTTCTTCTCTAGATGTCAGCACGGCCGTTAGAGGCTTCAACAAGAGGTAATAAGGACTCTGCAAGCAAGTCTTCTAACCAATAAATTAATTCACTTGAAAGTCATACTTTGTAAAAAAAAAAAAAAATCAGTAGTGTATATGTTGAGGGAAAAAAGTATGCTCACTTTCAAACCAGTGCATCCACCTGTACAGCTCTCAGATGCCTAATGCTCCAGTTTCTTGAGAGAATTGTTATCTATAAAACTGTTAAGGCAGTTATTGATACTATAAATGTACCCTTGATCCAAGTAGCTGAAATACACACATGTAACAGATAACTATCTGGAGACTGTAACCACCCTCCAGCGATATTTTAAAGCCAATGGTAACAAAGAAAAGCAGGGCAGGGACTCCCAAGGAAGTAAACCTAAGTGGTAGTTGCGCACTGAGAATACACTAGTAATCGTATAAATTCAAATTAAGACTCGCTCTTATCTTGAGGAGTGTCAAAAAATAAAAAAATAAAACAAAGGGAATCATTGATTCCTTCAAAGAAAACAGAGAAACGGTTCAAAAAGATCAAATCAATATCCTTATTAGAAGGACAATATCTCACAACATATGGAAAACTGGTGAACTTTCCGTGAGACCATGATTTACACCTTTGTGAATTTGTATCAGATCTAAAAATAGACCAAGCATTTAATTTTAGACACCAACTAATTTGAAAATGCAACAAAAAGAAAAAAAGATTATCTCCAAAAATTGGCTGTTAAAATATCTTTTGAAGTACAGTACTAATACTACCTAGAGGTTACGTTTTTAAGTAATATATATATTGAGATAGATTAAAAATATTGTTTATGGGCAAATTAACCTAAAACACATTTATAGGTAATAATTCTTTTACCCATATATAAATAATGTAAACAGAAGCTGTCAAGATGACTCACTATCTACTCTAATTTATATCCTCCACGAGCTTCTTGCCAGTTATACAATGCAACGCTTTAATTCCTGACTTTGAATGGTTAGGAAGGTAATATGTAACTCTGTAAACATTATCAGCACCAACATATAGTGTATCATGTAGGATAAAATGAAGCAAGATTATATTTAAATAAAATCAAATTTCTTGACTCATCTGCATTCAAATCCCAAATCTTTCTTTTTCTTTCCAAACTAAGAAAAAGAGCTACAATTAAAATCCCATTCATTGTTTTTCTATCATTCAGAACTGACACAAAAAATATATCAAAGGTGAAATTTTCTCCTTATATATCACATAATGTTTATGAGAAAGCCACTTATAGTTATATATAGATATTTCAATTACCTCACAATTTTATTACTTAAAAATATATCCTACAAATACCCCATGCTTATTTCTAACAGAAAAAGTAATGGAAGTTATTTTACCTTACTAAACACAGGGACAGATGCATATTTTTTAGGACCAGAACTATATACAATTTTGCTGATCTTCTTCAAGAAAATTGTTACAAAATACCTAATGCAAAATTAGGTACAGGACTTTGAAAGGGCCACGTCTAAGCGAGGGGCACTGATGCTTACATTTCATTAGCTTCTCCAGATATCCACCTATGCACAGCAGACAATGAATTTTTAATATTTCTCTGACTATACTGCATAATAAATTACACCAAAATATTATTACCTCCAATCACATACTACCTTTCATTTCTTGCTACCCTGACCTTCAGTTTTCTATCTTTTCATAATCTATACTTCAATTATAAGAAATCAACTACAGGTCAAAGATGCTCCCTTTCTTAGTTAGCATTACATTCATCTGCAAATAGAGATAAAATAATGAGTTTCCTGAAGACTGATTACATTTCATGAAGAATTCTGTTGAGTTATGTAATTATACTCATGTTAACCATCTGTTGATATATCAAACAGCAATTGGGGAAACTTTTACCAGACACATAAGACAATCTGGAAATTTGTTTCAACGTACATATTTTAGCATTAGAGAATCTGCCATGCATTGCTAATGTAACCTAATAATCTGTACTAATTTTGTGCCAGTGGGAGTGAGGGAGATACAGTACAAGCACATATGCATATCTGTGAGTGCATACACCCAAACTTTACGTGTGGTACTCGGGTCAGCCATCTTTTCTAGGACAAATCTTTAATCTCCCAAAGAAAGACAAGAACAGGGTCTACTTGCAGCTGACCAAATCACTATTTATAATAGTCCAGTTTTCTTCATTTGATCAAAGAAAAATCTCAGGGAGATAATCTAATATTTTAAAAAATGGATCAAAAACATTTACTAAAACATTCATAATTGTGTAAGGAGAATCATTCCATTTTTTAAATCAAATTGTTTTAGCTTTGGAAGTTTTAACTAGAACTGTTTAATTCATAATTAAATACTTGAGACTCTATGTACCCAAAAAGCAGAACATTTGAAAATAGTATGCTAGCTGTCTTACACTGCTTTGGCCATTTTTACTTTTTGTGTTATAATAAACTCTTAATATGTATATAAACATTTGAATATGCACACTATTACATGTATATCACATGTAATAGTTTGTACATATATATAAAATTCTAAATATATAAGAAAAAGTTTTACTTAGTATAAAATATACATATATATAAAACTGTGCGGGAGAGTTTTCGAACTAGAATCTGCTTGACATGATACCATTCTGAATAAAATTTATAAATGTTGATTCCCTGATTACAGAGACCCTGTGTCTTGTCATGATGTACCCTAAAAATAAGTTGAAATACAACTTAATCTTCATCACTTTTTTAAAAATTACCGACTGACTTTCTCTCTGGTTAAAAGGGTATTACAATGGCATTAGAAATTTAACAATGCAAAAATCATTTTTGAAAATTATAGAAAGAATAATGAATACGTATTCTAGTTATCTTGCACAATAATATATTTAAAGAGAAATTAGAACCAAAATAAACAAACACAATGAAGAAACCTACCTGCCACTGTTGATATGAGCACATTAACCTCAGGAATAATCAAGAACTACACCAACCTCTCTATGAGACTTCGCCTTTTTTTTTCATTAGACAAGAAAAAACTCAAGAAGAGTTTGTTGGTTTAGATTATGTGGGCCTAGATTGTAAAAAATAGGAAAATAAAGGAAATCAATTTTTACCTCTAGTAACAATATAGTAAGGAAAGACGTAGACAAATGGATATAGGCAGTAGAGACTACAGACCAAATCTGAAAACTCTATGGTAAGACAAAAAGGAAGGAATTTTTATGAAATCACTTAGAGACCCAAACACTAGGTTTGGCTGAAAAAATGTCAATCTTGGATATATATTAAATGTTACCGAAAGCAAAAATTGAAATGACTGAATTGGAGTTGCCTCAAATTATAAATCATCATTTATACTTTTGTCAATTATCCATGAACTTTACATCTGCTCTTAATGATTTTAATCAGTGTAATTCTTTCAAAAAATCTTATTTTCAAATGGACAAAAATTAAAGGATGAAACATACTCTGGCCATGACTAACTATTTAATCTTAGATGTATGTAAATAATAGTTAACAAATTTCGTCACTATGTTATTCTCATTTGAAAATTTCACAATGTTTTCTAAACCTAGCATAACACCTGTCTGAGTACACACACTAATGCACAGTTTCTCCTCCTTTCAGTGAATTTGTTATCAGTTAGCTCTTTTGCAAGTTGAATGATAACTAAGGTGAAAAAATTACCGATAAAGCCTAGATATAGAAGTGAAAAATTTTTAGAAACATCAGCTGTAAATCTTATTTAGCAGTGACATTTCTTCCTCAATTTTTATGTAAATAGATGCCTTTTCCTAATTGATCTGGACAGTTTTATCTGAAGAGATATTTTAACAGAATATAAAATGTATAAAGAAAATGTACAAACTGTCAAAATTCATCACCATGTAAAAACAGCTATGAAATAAAAAAAATTGTTCAGAATTACTAACATTGCATACAGTTACGCTTATAGGGTTGGGCATAATATTTTGGGCATTTTTTTCTTGGTGATTTCTGCCTTATGTTGACACTGTAATTTGAAGATTTAAAAATGCACATATTTAGATACATTTTTCAAGGGTTAAACTATTAGTGAAACAAGTGATTGTGCTTAAGAGGATTTAATACCAAACTGACTATCGCTTTGCTCTAAGAAAAGGTGTTATACCCTTTCCTGATCAAATGGGCTGCCATGAAAGCAAAATGGCACATAGCCATGGAGCTTCCTAATAGTGAGTAAAAAAATCCTAACATAATAAATTCTCAAGGACTTTTACTTAAACATAATTCCTGGATTTGTCTCATAAACAATAGCCCCTAGAATCTCTGTTTTAATATATCCATTAAAATTAGGCATAGCCCCTCTGTCCTTTGTTCAAAATGCTCTGGGTATAAAAAGATGAGTGATATTTAAGTTGGTATCTAAAGGGAAGCAATGCAATGTCAATGTAAAATAAATTTCTTTCCTCTGTCCATAACGATGACCTATGATTTTTTTTTTTTTTTTCCAGAAGAGTAGAAAACACTTTTCACAGTATGGTCATCTACAGTATGTAAAAATTGTTTTTATAAAACCCATATATACAGAAAACATCTCAGTCATCAATTTGAAGGTTCTTAGTCATTATAAGATAGGTTATAAAAAAAGACCACTAAAGTAATTGTTCATTCCGTAGCCTTTTTCCCCAACCTCAACAGGTAGGTATCAAGGACTAAAGAATCACGTGAACTCATGTATAACTGCATATCAGCCTTCTATATCTACACGGAGTTACAACTAAAGTTCTCAGAAACAGTTTGAATACATGAAAAGATATGAATAGAAATAACTGACTCCTTTAGTCCATCACCAAAGTTGCAATCCTCTGGATTTTCATAAAATGAAGTGAAGATCCATATTTTGTTTCAGCCCTTTGAGCAGAAACAAGACCAGGGACAGATCACCAAGATTTCAAAGCATTAGTTCATAATTCATGACAATCTTCTTCTGGTACAACTTCCAGTATTATTTGTAACGTTCTGGTTATTCTGTCTACAACGAAATAAAGAAGAGAAATTAAAAATGTGCAGAAATCAGGGATGCATAAAAACAGCAAAATGTGAATTATTTTGAGTTGAATACTGAAAACACACAACTGCCTATTTCATAGAGCACTTTCAAGAATTATTTACTTCATTAGAATCCTATCATGCTCAATTAATTTATTTGTCACTTCTGTAACTTCCCATGATGGCTTCTCAGCAAGAATACATTAATATTTTGTATTCAGAAAAAGACTCATTCATGAACCAGGAGGCTGAAAATATTCTGAGGCAATAGGTCCAAGATTATAAATAAATGTTTAAAAATACATTTCATATTCAGTTTTAAAACTGGTTTGTTGCTTTTTTTGCACTTAGGAGATTACAACCAATTCCTTAGCAAAATCAGGAAAAGAATCAGAATATAATTTCCAGTCTCAAACTTGTAGAGTTTTATTGAGCAAAACATCTTATCTCTCAGGCCTCATTTGCCTCCTCTGTGGAATGAGGGACTTGGGAGTGACAACAGCAAGATGGAGGGCTAGGAGGTCCCAACGCTTATTTTCCCCACAAGAAAACAACAAGAACAATAAACAGCTACAAACTGAAAAATACAGCTCATGGAAAGCTCTAGACGACAAAGAAGCAGCAGCAAAAGCCCGGTGGAGCTTAAAAATCAAGGTTGGCTGCATAGAAAACTAAAGGAAGCATTTGACCAGCATCACCCCATCCTCCAGCCAGGAGCTGCTGGGCTTTGGGAGGAATCCCCTTGGCGGAAGGTCACCACATGGGGAGGAGGAGAGCAGGAGCACCCCAGCAAGCCTCACCCTTGTGGCCCATTGCAGCTTTTGCTACAGAGGTCTCCCACAGTCATCAATGATGCTGGTCCCAGCTGATGGAGCAGCCTAGAGTGACCCCACTCTGCATCTACTCCCAGAGGCTGAAGCTGTTGCTGAAGTGAGACTTGTCCTCAGGGGCCCTGGTTCTTGCTGTGTCCCCCTCCCCCCACTCTCAAGGATTGGGTGCCGCAGCACCTCATATAGGAGACCAGAGCTACCACTGCTCTTTGCCCAACTGGCCCCAGGTCTAGGCTTTGTCCCACCATGATCAAGGCAGCTTCTCCTACCCTGAGCCCTGCCCTCAGGGTCCCAAGCCACACTTTGGCTGCCAGTATTGGGGTTGTGCTGCTGCTGCCCTGAGCCATACCCTCCATACCAGGTCAAGAGTGAACTGTCATTGCTGAGATAGGCTCTTACTGCCCTGAGCCCCACCCACTGGGTTCTGGGTCACAGCTCTGATCCATCTTTGCCCAGGGGGCTGCCACTACCCTGAGTCCCACCCCTGTGGCAGGTCAAGGCTCAGATCTGTCATTGCTAGGATGAAGCTACCACTGCTCTGAACCTCCCCACCCCCTGGCTCCTGGGTTGCAGCTCTGAACTGTCATTGCCAGGGTCATGCTGCCACAGCTCTGTGCCCACCTCCCTGGGCCCCAGCACGTGGCTTTAACAGACTACCACCAGAATTGTGCTATTGCTATCCTGTGAGTGCCTCCTGGGGCCAGAGCTGAGACTTTGACCCACCATCCCGAGGCTGTGCTGCTACTGCACTCCACCTCCTGGGCCCAAGCCATCACTGCAGCTTGTCATCCCAGTGCCCTTGCCGCTGGTGCATTCCCTCCCACCAGCAGGAATCACACTGGTGAGCCCTTGAGATGCAGGTACCCATTCCATGGGATATCTTCACATGCCCATACACTAGACACCAGTGCTATAGATACAGCAAGCTCACCTGTACCCAAGACCCAGGCACTGTGGTTGTTCCATGTGCACCTGATCTAGGACCCTGGCTCCCATGCTACTCTGAGGGCTCTGAGGGTCAGCATGCTAGACCAAGTACCAAGAAAGTCTCCTTAGCTAGAACTTCCTCCCGTGGGCAAAAAACAAACAAGGTAGGGGGAGAACAGAGAACAGAAAGACCTCAGCGTCATTAGCCTCCAAAGATCCCAATAGCCCTACCTATCACTGCCACCTGCAGGTCTTCTGTAGCCTTAGCCATAGAAGACCCCCACAGTCTGGCCAATACCAACCTCAGCCAACAAAGAGGCACAGAGACTACACCACCATGCCTTCACAGGAACCAAAGACACTGCATACTACCCAGTTGGTGCTCTTACAGCCACCTCCAGGTGAAAGTCTTTCCCTACTGCAGCCAGTCCAAAAAGACTGGAAGAGGTGACTGCACCCTCAAATGCACAGACATCAACACAAACCCATGAGAAACACTAAAAAGCAAGGAAACATGACACCATGAAAGGAACACAATAATGCTCTAGTAAATGACCCCAAAGAAATGGAGATCTGTGAGTTATCTAAAAAAAAATTCAAAACAATGATTTTAAGGAAGCTCAGCAAGATTTAAGAGAACACAGATAGACAAATCAATAAACTCAAGAAACAATACATGAAAAAAATGGGAAATTCAACAAAGAAATAGAAATCATAAAAAAGAACTAAACAGAAATTCTGGAGATGAAAAATACAATGAATGAAATGAAAAATGCAATAGGCTCAATCAGGCAGAAGAAAAAATTGGTGAGCTTGAAGATAGATCTCTAGATATTATCCAGTCAGAGGAGAATAAAGAAATTAGAATAAAAAAGTGAAGAAAGCCTTCATGAATTGTGGGACACAATCAAAAGAAACAATTTCCACATTATGGGAGTCCCAGAAGTAGAAGAGAGAGAGAAAGAGACAGAAAACTTATTTTAAAAAATAATGGCTGAAAACATCTCAAAACTGGAGAGAAATATGGCCATGTAGGTACAAGAAGCTCAAAGATCCTCAAACAGATACAACCTAAAGAGAACTTCACTGAGACACATTATAATCAAGCTCTCAAAAATCAAAGACAAAGAGAAAATGTTGAAAGCAGCAAGAGAAAAAAGAATTATCACATACAAAGGAATCCTGATAAGGCTATCAGCAGATTTATACCTGGCAGGCCAGGAGAGAATGGGATGATAGTGCTCAAAGAAAAAAAACTGCCATCAGCCAATAATACTTTACCCAGAAACATTGTCATTCAGAAATGAAGGAGAGATAAAGACTTTCTCTGACAAACAAAAGCTGAGGGAATTTATAACAAAAAGACCTGCTGTACAAGAAATGCTAAAGTCAGTTCTTCAAGCTGAAACAAAAAGATGCTAATTAGCAACATGAAAACATATGAAACTATAAAATTCACTGGTAAAGGTGAATATATAGTCAAATTCAAAATGCTCTCATATTGCAATGTGGTTTGTAAATCACTTTAAAATCTACCATATAGGTAAAGAGACAAAACTGCAAAAATAGCTATAGCTACAATGGACACACAATATAAAAAGAGGAAAATTGGGACATCAATATAAATTGCAGGAGGGGGCAAGTAAATGGGTAAAACTTCATTGTGCAACTGAAGTTAAGTTGTTATCAGCTTAAAATAGGTGGTTATAACTATAAGACGCATTATGAAAGCCTCACAGTAACTACAGAACAAAAACTTATAATAGACACACAAATGTAAAGAGAAAAGAATCAAAGGAAACCACTACAAAAAAAATCAACTCACAAAGAAAGACAGCAAGAGAGGAAGAAAGAAACTAAGAAACTACAAAACAATCAGAAAGCAATTAACAAAATGGCAATAGTAAGTCTTAATCAATAATTACTTTAAATGTACAGTCATGCATTGCTTAATGACAGGGATACATTCTGAGAAATGTGTCGTTAAAGGATTTTGTCATTGTACAAACATCATAGAGTGTACTTACACAAACCTAGATCATGTAGCCTACTATACACCTAGGCTATATGGTACTAATCTTTTGGGACCACTGTCATATATGCAGTCCATTGCTGACAGAAACGTCATTATGCGGCGCATGACTGTAAATGGCTTAAATTCTCCAATTAAAAGACACAGAGTGGCTAAGTGGATTAAAAAAAAAAGACTCATCTGTACACCGCCTAAAAGAAAATAATCTCATTTACAACAGCATTGAAAACAATAAAATATTTATGAATAAATCAACCAAAGAGGTGAAAGACCTGTACAGTGAAAACTGAGACATTAATGAAAGAGATTGAAGATGACACAAAGAAACGGAAAGATATCCCATGTTCCTAGAGTAGAAGAATTAATATTGTGAAAATGTTCATACTACGCAAAGCCATCTACAGATTCAATGCAATACCTATCAAAATTCCAATGGCATTTTTTTTTTTTTTTTTTTTTTTT